TTTTGTCAAGTTTCAAATTTTTACCTTTTTGGAGAAAAATTGAATAGGGAACTTCAGGCCCAGTTCAGTATTTCAAATACGACTTTAAATATCCTGATATATCATTTCAAACGATTTTTTACGCTGAAAACAATGGGGCAATTAGATTTTAAATTGGTCAAAAATGACAAAGCTATGGCAAAACGAAACTGGCAGGGTAATTTCGACGAAGAGCTGAATATTTTACTGGATGGATGGTTTTTAGATTTTTATTAATGTTGGAAGGTTTTTAGATTTTTCAAAAAATAAAATTGTAGATGTTCTCCGGACTTACAATTGTAACCCGTTCGCGCTCATCTTGTCCAGGGACTTCGGGACTCTGATTATGATGGGCGTCGAACGTTCCTTGCACAAATGTCGATTTGGGAAGTTGAAGATAACGTTCTTCCGTACATCCCAGTTTCTCAATTTTTTGAAGGAGGTTTGACCGACACTATTAGATGATTTTCCTTTGCAACAACGACAAAGAATGATTTTCCAGCTTGAGGATGCCCCTCGCACAATTCTTTGCAGGTGAGACGTTATTTAAATCCTCACTTCCGTGATAGGTGGATAGGACGTCTTTTGGCTTCCTCTGTCACCCGATGGAACTCCACGTGACTATTTTCAATGGGGCTATTTAAAAAACAGTGTCTACGCTAATCATAACCCAGCAACCTTAGTTGAAGGACTGCGGCAAATGCGTGTCAATCCATCTCACTTGACTCTATCGCTCTGAGCACCGATGAAGAATGGTTTAAAAGAGCAAATCTTTGCATCTTTACGCAAGACTAGCAGTTAAAACATGATTAATAAATAGAAAACCAAATGAATGTTTTTTTCCAAACTTTTTGCCATAATTTGCACCATTGTTTAAAGGGTAAAAATCTTTTAAAATGACGTGTAAGGATGTCAGGCCTGAGGTGACGTGAATAATTTTTCTCAAAAAAAGGTAAACGATTTGAAACTAGACTAAAAAATATTAAACACGTATTTTTTATACCCATCTAAAAAGGACACCCTATATATATTTTTTTAAAATAAATTTGAGAAAGTACCGAATAAAGTTAAATTTGTAAATCATAGATAGTCTTTACTACCATGATCGCTTATATTTTTTATTAGTTATAACTTACTGTAGTTTCAATAATTATTTGTTTAAAAATTCCAGTTTGAACATGAAATGTGATTAATAAATAACAAATCAGATGAATGTATTTTTTTTCAAACTTTTTGCCATAACTTGCACCATTGTTTTAAGCGTAAAAAAATCCTTTAAAATGATGTGCCAGGATGTAAAGGGCCATATTTGAAATTTTTAAGTTCGAACTGGGCCTAAGGTACCCTGTACAGTTTTTCGCAAAAAAAAACCATCTAAAAAGGACACACACACACACACACACACACACACACACACACACATATATATATATATATATATATAATTATAAAGTTATAAGTATAAATCATAGATAGTCTTTACTATCATAATCGCTTATATTTTTTATCAGTTATAACTTACTGTAATTTCAATAATTATTTCCTTAGAACTTCACGTATCTTTAATTATAACCTTTAACAGGTATCAGTATTTTTTTGACAAGGATATATTTCCGTTTAGGTTATGTTAAGCCAACTTGGAATGTAATTTTAGTTAAACGGTTAGTTATGCCTTTTGAACATGTTAAATATTAAATTCATTAGATTTTGTGGTCCGATTGACCGACTAATATTTTTCAATTAATTAATCTCTATGTAAGGTTTTGGTTGAGATATGGTCACGACAGCTCAAGTGGTAGAGCAGCGGCGTATTTAGCCGAGGATCGTGGGTTCGAATCCCGCTCGTGACACTGACTTTTTCATCTCAACCAATACCTTACATAGAGATTATATTAATTATTATAGCTAAAAGTTGAAAAATAAGGGCTTTTTTATTGTTTTGATTCGTTTTTAAGTAAAAGTGCAACGACTTGGTCTTGGACAATGTCACAGGATTTCTCAAGTCCTTGACAGTGAGTGTCACGGGCGAAGTGTGGAGGGTTAGGCAACTCCGAATTGCTCGTGTGACGAGCGGTGTTTAGTAGGAGACCTACTGCTCGGCAGAGAGGTCAGCCACCTCTTTCTTCTGAACGTTCGTCTCCACAGCTGGAAAGACTGGATGCCGTTCGGGTCAATCGAATGTACGCTTCCTCGATCCTCGAGGATCAAAAAAAAAATTGGAAAATGACACGCAACACGACGTTACAGCCGGGTGTACGTGGCCCGTCGTATTTCAACACTCCTCGAGAAAAAGGAGAAGAAAATAAGCCAGCTATATTTTTCAATATTTAGCGAAATTGGCAATTGAGCTATAAAAGAGATATTTCACATGAAATATATAGTAATTTTATTGTCTAGGCTAATGTTTATGATGCCGAATACTTCCTTGCCATCATCGCTGTAAATGTCTGACCTAACATGCTAAAAGTTGTTATAAAATAATTGCACTTCGCTGCTGCGGCAATGACGCTATTGAAATCCATTATTTCTCTGTTACTTCCTTGTAATAAGAACTAAAAACAACCACACCATTTTCCAACTGATCTTCAGAACAGGATTATTTCACGGCTATCTTTTATTAATAATTAAGTCTTTCAGTTAATTAATAGTAAAAACAACTGTCATGACCGGTATGTTATATAAGACGCTAACTCATAAATATTGCCAATATGCTTTTATTTATTAAGTAAACAGTTTGAAGATGACGAGCTTCCGTTTACCATCCTTCCATCACGTTCGTTCATCACGATTGTTAGCATATCTACATCCCATATACAGGACTCTTTCCTTCCTTTTAACTTTTCATTCTTATACATCAAGCGAACGAAAACATGACGGTGAAAATCATTTTACTTCAAATCAAAATTTTTATATTGGGTTCTATGTATATCATTTGACGATCTTTATCGAAATATTGGACCGTTGAAAGAACTTGGCATTTTTACTTTGCGTACTGGAAAACTTTGTTGTGATAAAAACCGACTACAAGAGAATACATTTTTAAATCTTCCATTTCAATTATTGCATTAAAATAATTAATATAAAAATTTAAAAAAAAGCTATTTATGTTGTGTGAAAATTCCTAAAATTCTGTTGTCAACGTAGCACATAGCAGGGTTATCTGATACCGATGGGCGGTCATTTATAAGCGAAAGAGAACAAATTAGGTCTGATTATCAAGAAAGTTAATTAGTCTCTTCTAAAAGTTTATTTAATTTAAAGATTTCAGATTCTTCACTTTTTTTTCGTTTCTGAATACAGGACATACTTTTTAAATAGTTCGTGCTAATTATTGAAAACCCGATTGAATATATATTATTTTGGGAAGTTCGTGCCCGAGTGAATCGAAGTCACGATAGCTCAAGTGGTAGAGAAGCGGCGTATCTAGCCGAAGGTCGTGGGTTCGAATCCCGCTCGTGACACTGACTTTTTATCTCAACTAAATTCCTTAATTAATTGAAAGATATTAATTGGTCTAGCGGACCACGAAAATTAGTGAATTTAATATATTATTATATTCTAAATTATTCTCAAATCTGGTAATACAAGTCATTATGTGTTGAGATATCCCTTATCCAAATAAAAAGCTCGTTAACTCATCTATCAAAGGTTTAGAAGTGCCCAAGAACATATATTAAAAACTAGCGTTAATTTGATTTAAATTTAAAGTTTTCTACTACAACTTAAAATATTATGAGTGATTTTTTTAAAATGGTTTTTAATTAGTGATTTACACCCGGCTAATTAAATAAAAACCAATATTACATTTCTGCGTATATGGGTTGCTTTTAAAAATAATTTTATTATCATTTTTATGTCTTAAATATATGTATTATTGGCGCTCTCTGACTAAGAGATGCACACATTCTATACGTATTCAATTTAAAAAATCGTGTTCAAATAAATCTCTATTTTGGCTTCATATTTGCAAAGAGTATATTAAAAACGGTTTTTATAAACATAGACGTATATATACAGAGAGAGAGAGAGAGAGAGAGAGAGAGAGAGAGAGAGAGAGAGAGAGAAAGAGAGAAATGCAGAAAGAAAGAGGCGTGAGGGAGAAAGATAATGAGAGATAGAGCAACATAGTGAGATAGTAAGCAACTGAATGAGAGAGTGAGCGAGTGAGGGCAAAAAAGAGTGAACCAGTGAATGATTGAGAATGAAAGTGAGAGAGCAAGAAAAAGAGAATGAGCGAGTGAGTGAAAAAGATAGTGAGAGAGAAAGAGAGAGCGATGGAGAGAGGAAAGAGAGAGAATATTTGAGTATAGTTAAGTTACTGGTAGAAAAGTGACTAAACTAAGTTGTAAAAAATCGAATTTTTAAACAAAAATAAATCACAAAGCCCATTAAAAAACAACGTGCGCGCAATTTTAATCAGTTTTTTACTAAATTTTAAAATTAGTGAATCTCAAGTTTTATTTAGTATTTGTAAGTCGTGTATTATTTTCTAACTTCACGAAAGTAATTTATGTATCATTCATTATATGCATGTCGTTTATATCAAATACAAAAAAAAATCATCTTCTCGAATAAAATTAAACAAAAACACGTCTGTATTAGTTGTTTCGTGAATGAATTTATTCCGAAATTTGTGTCATAATTAATCGTTTAAAAAAATTCGGTGTAAAATTATTATTGAATTTTAAGATTAGGCATAGTCCCAATAGAATGTTATTTCAAATAGTATTGGAAGGGTTTTAGTCTGAAATAAAAAGAGTAATACATATGCCACTTACGTTTATGTTGGCTAAATTATGTTTTCAAAAAAATTTAAATCGAAAATACAACACTGAATAGGATCAACGTTGTTCATATATATTTTTGTAAATAATTGACCAGTTTGTAATTAATTAACGCTGTTAATAATCCACTTTGTCACCAAGTTTCCATTGTATGTTTCACAACACTGACCCGATAGATTTTGTTTTTCTTTGACTTACTTACAGGGTCGTTGAGGCTACTCCGGTCCAAGTCTCGCGAAGTGTTAGCGAACTCTTGCTCAACCTCAGTTTATATAGGAGGTTTGCGGTAGCTATGGTTACGCACCCCCTCCCAAACCGAGGCGGACACAAACGCTAAAGAACACAGCGAAAAGATACGATAAACCACGTGGATGTTGTTGAAAATAACGACAAAATCGATGTATGCTTTTTATGTTGGTTAGAAGATAATTGGGGACATGAAGGGGGCAAGTGTATCGCATGGGTACAATTAAAATTACCTGTAACGCGAATTAGTTTACGTCCTGCTGAAACCTATTCGATTAGTTCAGTAATAAGGATATCGTGCTAAAAATATATCGTATAAATAATTGATATATGAAGAACTAAAAAAAAAATTTAAAACAGTTTCCGAAATTGCTTCCTGAATCAAAAATATATAGGACCACTGTTTTTTTTACTCTTGATCCAAATAAGGCTGATCAAATCGAATTTAGGGATGAAAGTTGAAAATGGTCGTTTTGATTTCACCGTATTGTTCAGTTAAAATACTAAATTTCTGATCATAGTGTTTTTTACTAAAGTATAAATTCATATTAATTATCAAATTGAAACCTAAAATTATTAAAAATTTTTATCAAAAAGCTAAATGATGTTTTCTTGTGTAATTCTTATAACATACATTTTTAAGGCAATAAAATATTATAAAAAGACAGAGAGATTAATTATTTGTTTATTTTTCATAATTTACATGGTTAACAACGTTTCAATTTTTCTTTGTTATGTATTGGATTTTGAACCATATTTTTTAATATATTTATCGGATATTTTTTTACCTCAACTAAAAATGAATGTCATTTTAAAAAGGTAGTTCCTACTCAGAGTAAGTTGTTTTCAACGACCCGGATTTCGAGCCTACAGCTCATCATCAGGTTGAAGGAGAACTACAAAGGCTCGAAATCCGGTCGTTGAAAACAACTTACTGGGAGTAAGAACTTTTTAAAAAAAAAGATTGAATAACACTCACTCCACCATTTATCATTTCTAAGAAATTATGTTTCTCTAAATTATTGAGGGGTAATTGAAGTTTATGAGGCAAGACCTCAGGACTAGTAGCTTTTGTTCTTTTTGTATTATGCTTTCTGATTGTCTTACACTTAATGTAAAAATTAATGTCTTTTTAAAAAGATAGTTCCTACTCACAGTAAGTTGTTTTCAACGATCCGGATTTCGAGCCTACAGCTCATCATCAGGTTGAAGGAGAACTACAATCTGATGATGAGCTGTAGGCTCGAAATCCGGATCGTTGAAAACAACTTACTGGGAGTAGGAACTTTTTTTAAAAAAAAGATTGAATAACACTCACTCCACCATTTATCATTTCTAAGAAATTATGTTTCTCTAAATTATTGAGGGGTAATTGAAGTTTATGAGGCAAGACCTCAGGACTAGTAGCTTTTGTTCTTTTTGTATTATGCTTTCTGATTGTCTTACACTTAATGTAAAAATTAATGTCTTTTTAAAAAGATAGTTCCTACTCACAGTAAGTTGTTTTCAACGATCCGGATTTCGAGCCTACAGCTCATCATCAGGTTGAAGGAGCTCTACAACCTGATGATGAGCTGTTGGCTCGAAATCCGGTCGTTGAAAACAACTTACTGGGAGTAGGAACTTTTTTTAAAAAAAAGATTGAATAACACTCACTCCACCATTTATCATTTCTAAGAAATTATGTTTCTCTAAATTATTGAGGGGTAATTGAAGTTTATGAGGCAAGACCTCAGGACTAGTAGCTTTTGTTCTTTTTGTATTATGCTTTCTGATTGTCTTACACTTAGCTTTGTTTTTCCACAGATTTTCTTAAAATTATATTTTCTTTTACATATTTTAGACTTAAATAAATATACGAAGCAGGTATATTAAACTTTTTTTAAAAGTGGCTCCCTCTATCTTTGTTTTACACCAAATAGGATTCTTAATGCTTTTTTAAACAACCCCAAAATCGAAAGCTATAATTTATTCCTTCAAACAAAGCTCAGTATACAATTTTGAGAGCCCATTTAGCAATTTCACCCTACAATTTATAAATGAGATAACATATAGATGTTAATTTACTATATACATCATCATCAAAATGGTCATGACAACATAATACCTACCTACCTAACCCTTGGATTTTAATATTATCACAGTATGATTGATTCAATTAAAGCTAATAAACTGATTTTTTTATATGTAGAAGGGAGCATTTAGGATTTGTATAAGGATTTTTGATTGGGATTTGGATTCGTAGTATATTGGAGCTCATTGTGTAAAAATATATTTCGAGTTTATACTGATGTAGTGATCATGGTTAATGTCAGGGTTGGCAGTGTTTCTTAATCCAAAGACAGTTCTGCTGTAACAACTTCTAATTTTGCAGTACTTGGGATAATAGATAAACAGTTTAGTATTTAATAAATAAACGTGTTCCTTTGTGAAAAAAAGGAAAGTTATTTTCATTTTACTGGTATTTATACTTTATCGTATGATTTTCAATTAATTAATGTTTTAGTTGAGATAAAATAGTCAATGGCACGAGCGGGATTCGAACCCACGACCTTCGGCTTGATACGTCGCTGCTCTACCACTTGAGCTATCGTGACTTCGATCCACTCGGACACTAACTTCCCATCTCAACCCCATCTTTTGAGTTTTCCCTCCTTTTTACCATTTTTCAAATGTCGTGTAATCGGGTTGGATTCTCGACGACAAATGAAATGGCCACGGAGAGCTTTAGTGAAGTATACTTCATGTTTAATCATTAAATTCACTAATTTCGTGGTCCGATTGACCAATTAATATATTACAATTAATTAAGGTTTTTAGTTGAGATAAAAAAGTCAATGGCACGAGCGGGATTCGAACCCACGATCTTCCGCTTGATACGTCGCTGCTCTACCACTTGAGCTATCGTGACTTCGATTCACTCGGACACTAACTTCCCATTTCAACCCCACCTTTTGAATTTTCCCTCATTTTTGCCATTTTTCTTTTTACTACTTTTTTATCTCAACCAAAAACTTAATTAATTGAAAATAATTCATTTGGTCAAGCGGACCACGAAACCTAATAAAATTTATCGTATGAGTTCGTTTACGAGTAGTAAAAGGTTGAGTCTAAAGCTCGGCTGAACTGTCATTGGATTAAAATACATCCCCAACCCTGACCTCAACCCCCTCAGTATGATTATAACAGTTAGTCGATTCTATCAAAAATTTATATTTCGAGTTTGTTTTATTTTCTTCAAAAAAAAAAGTTTGTTGCCTGTATTACTTACAAGATAAAAATCTTAAATACTAGTTCATAACCCATAAAATTTGTAGTTTTGTCGTTTCGAACATTGTGGTTTACCTGAATCTGCATATTAGTTGTTCTGTTCTGTCAGATGCCTTTTAGATTTCTCCCATCTTCACTTATTTCCCGTGTATTATTCACTGAAAAACCACTCCTGCTTGGCTCGAAAATGCCTCAACTTAATTAAAGTTATTGGAAGAAATGTCGTCGGTTTTGTTGGATACTGAACAATAGTTAGCCCATTCGGGTTGCCAAAGATAGTCCAATATCTCGAACCTACAAAAAAATATATTTTGGTTGTCTTGATTGTTGGTAAGGTGGTGCACATCAATGAGTTGATGTCTACTTGGCTGATATCTTTGATAATCCTTGTTGATCCTTGATCCTTAGTTGGGATTAATGTCGCTATACAAGTTGATTGTGTGAATCGCGTTTTCCCTACTGAAACTTATGCAGCACCTCCAGCATGTACGTATATTACAAGATGAAAATTTAAACCACCCCAATTGAAATTGTAAATTGTAACAATATTTACAAACAAATTCAATTTTATAAATATGTTATTTATTAACTTTTTAATTATTTTTATCAGCTTACAATTGGAATAAAACGGGGAGTCGAAATGGGAAGTTTGTGGCATGGGCGATCGAAGTCAATGTAGTTCAAGTTGTAGAGAAGCGGCGTATTTAGCCGAAACTCGTGGGTTCGAATCCCGCTCGTGACACTGACTTTCTTATCTCAACCAAGACCTTACATAAAAAGAATAATACTTCTCATACCAGACCAAATTGTTAATTCCGAAAAAAATTATGTATAATTAATTGAGATATTATTTATTAGTTAAATAAATGGAATGATATCATAGTCATGCATGTCGGCATGAAAATCATAGTTTTATGTTACAATCAAATTGGTTGTCGATTAATTAGGCAATTGAAAGAGGCATTTCTACAACATACAGAAAATGTTTTCCTCGAATCTAATCTAAGTCTTTTCTAAATTAGATTACAAGCACGTAAAGCATACATATTTCACATGATTTGCAGTTACGTCGGAAGGAATGAGTTGTTTCAGTCTTCCTCGAAAGCTCTATCAAGATCACAATCAAAATGCAGTGCTGTCATGGAAGAATGATTCAATTAAACACGGTAGAAATAGTATTGACAGTTTGATCGGATTATGAAGAAACCCGGTTAACATTGAGATGGTTTTGCAGTGCTTAATCCGCTTTCTCGACAGTCTACGAATTGATGTGTCTCCTTATAAAATAATGCTAAGCATCGAAAACAACTCACGAAAAAGAACTAACTTGACCGCTCTTTTTGTAGTGGCCTTTTTTTCGTTCTGATGTTTTTTTTTTATCATGTACTGTTTTAAAAATGATCCACGTCATTAAGACAAAATACACATCGATAGTAGATATTGATAGAACTGTGCCACTATCGAACACTGGTAATAAATCCATTACAGTTCGTGGTCCGATTGACCAATTAACATTTTTCAATTAATTTTTATGAAATGTATTGGTTGAGGTAAAAAGTCAGTGTCGCGAGCGGGATTCGAACCCACGATCTTCGGCTAAATACGCCGCTACTCTACCACTTCAGCTATCTTGACTTCGAACCGCTCGGACACTAACTTCCCATCTCAACCTCACCTCCCGCTCGTGACACTGACTTTTTTATCTCAACCAATACCTCTCATAAATATTAATTAATTGAAAAATGTTAATTGGTCAATCGGACCCCGAACTGTAATGGATTTAATAATTAAACTGAAGATATCTTCACGAAAGCTCTCCGTGGCCATTTCATTTGTCTCCGAGAATCAAATAGATTACACGACATTTGAAAAATGGCAAAAAGGAGAGAAATTCAAAAGGTGGGGTTGAGATGGGAAGTTAGTGTCCCAGTGGATCGAAGTCACGATAGCTCAAGTGGTAGAGCAGCGGCGTATGTAGCCGAAGATCGTGGGTTCGAATCCCGCTCGCGACACTGACTTTTTTATCTCAACCAATACCTTTCATAAATTAACCCTTAAATATTAATTAACTGGTACTAAACTAGCTAGTTGATTCGAACTGCTAGTTCACCGGTGACCATTACTTCTTCATGGACTACTCAGTTCATTCAATTAATTTTTTATAAAGGTATTTATTTAGAAAACGTGAGATGCGGTCTGGTGTGATGTAGGTTTCAGAAAAACATTTTCTTTATCGTGCCGACGTTTCGATCTTTATTGAGATCATCTTCAGGGCCTGGGATTTACAAACATTGTTTATATTTTACAATCATCTTACAATGCTTGTAAATCCCAGGCCCTGAAGATGATCTCAATAAAGATCGAAACGTCGGCACGACAAAGAAAATGTTTTTCTGAAACCTACATCACACCAGACCGCATTTCACGATTTCTAAATAAATACCGATTAACGGTCACTAATCACCACTCATTTTTATAAAAGGTTTTAAAAAGTTTTTACTTTTTATAAGTATTTACTTTCCTCTTGGAATTTTTTAAATTTTTCATACAGTTTTTTATTGTTCTTAGTTTATTCACTAGTTTTCGTGATCCGCTTGACCAATTAATATCTTTCAATTAATTAAGGTTTTTAATTGAGATAAAAAAGTAAGTGTCTCGAGCGGGATTCGAACCCACGACTTTCGGCTAGATACGTCGCTTCTCTACCACTTGAGCTATCGTGACTTCGATCTACTCGGACACAAACTTCCCATCTCAACCCCCTTTGAATTTTTTATCTCAACTAAAAACCTTCATTAATTGAAAGTTCTTTGTTCTGCCAAGTTAACCGGTGATACTTACTTCTTCATGTACAACTCAGACTATTTTACCTTATATAGTTAAGTTTTTGTAAAGGTTTTTTAAAATTTTTCGTTTTTATAACAAAAACATCGAGTTTCTTTCATTTTTGATATAATTATTTTTAATATTCTTACACTAAATTTACATTAATATTTTTATCGTGGTTTAGAAGCAACACACAAAACCAAAATTTAACAATTTAAGATTTTTCTGTAAAAATGGAAAGAGCCAGCATTGGAATTTTGTAATTTTTCACTTTATGTAAAATCTTTTATATTTATTTTTTTATAATATTCGCAATATTCTCAAAAAATTACTTTCTGCACTACAATACAAATTTTATATGTATTTGTGAAAGATGCAGAATAACAAAAAAATATATATCACAATCGTTGCATGAATATAAAAAAACTATACTTACTGAATATTTATATATTTTTTTTTAAATAAACCAATATAGAAGATAAAATGTGTGAAAGATGCAGAATAATAAAAAATAATAATACCTCACAATCGTATATTATTTTAAATATAAAAAACTATAATTTCCGAATTTGGCCAAAATTACGTCAAACCAATTTAAACCGGCACAAAAGAAAATTTTGGAAATATACAAAAAGAATGAACTTTTTTTGCTTTATCAAAAATTGAACGAAAATATACGTAGTTCAATTGTGCCAGTTTAATAAATCATATTGCTCGAAAGGATTCCTCGTTTCCTCAAAACGAACGGCTTTGCCCATCAGTAGTGCTTTGCTGCGCTTAATCCACACCTTAAGTCCTTTAACGAAAACGTCCTTTTCCTGAAAAAATATACTTACTCAAGTGAAAGTATTTTTTTTTGTGTAATTCGCAAACCTTTTACTTACTTTTCCTCCGTGTTGAAAAAAATATTTATGTCTTAATAAATTTAAAAAAATTAAACCACCCCAATTAAAATTAAAGAAAAACAATTTACTACACAATAATTTATTTAAAAATTATAAATTGCTACAATATTAATTGTTTAAAAATTAAACTAATCATTGCAAACACGAAATTATAATAAATTTAATACATGTTACCTTCGCAATTGGGTCTGGATGAGTCTGAAGGAAGGACACAGGTGGGCAAGCTTTTGTCGAAAATCGTACCAGGAGCACAATCAAAATGTACCGGTGACAAAGAAGAGCCGAAGTGGAAACAGCGATAAAAACGTCGGCAGTTCGACGGGTCGGCGAAGAAACCTGGCTCACTGCATTGAAACGGTTTTTCAGTACTTGTCCAGCTTTCTATAGGAATTGTATAGTCTATGGGAATTTTAAATCGCAGACTTCCTGGAAAAATGATGCTCAGATGAATTTCATCGTTTCAAACTTTTACAATTTCTTGACGCTTTCCGTATGTAATAACAGTAATTTATGTGACACTCATAAGAAATGTTATTTTTCTATAAAATATGGATAATAACTCTACAATATAACATTCCAGATAAAAAGTTAAACCACCCCAAATTAAAATTAGGCAATAATATATTATACTAATATATAGTTTATTATACTAATATATTATTGAAAACTGAAAGCATTTTATATCGTAGACATGCCATTAATATTTACTTCACTAGTTTTCGTGGTCCGCTTGACCAATTAATATGTTTCAAATAATTAAGGTTTTTAGTTGATATAAAAAAAGTCAGTGTCACGAGCGGGATTCGAACCCTCGATCTTCGGCTAGATACGCCGCTGCTCTACCACTTGAGCTATCTTGACCTCGATCCACTCGGTCAACAACTTCCCGTCTCAACCCCACCTTTTGAATTTTCCCTCCTTTTTGCCATTTTTCAAATGTCGTGTTATCTATTTGATTCTCGGCGACAAATGAAGTTTTGGGAAATTAGTGTCCGAGTTGGGTCGAATCCCGCTCGTGACACTGACTTTTTTATCTCAACTAAAAACCGTAATTAATTGAAACATATTAATTTGTCAAGAGGACTACGAAAACTAGTGAAGTAAATATTAATGGCATGTCTACGATATACAATGCTTTCAGTTTTCCTCGATTCTAATGAAACGTTTTTGTAAACACTTTGAAAGCTTTAGATTACAAACCCAAAATTAAACATACAAAAACATACATATGATTGGATGTTATGTACCTTCGCCATTAGGGCTATGTAAGTATAAAGTGTGTATGTACACACATAAATCTATGTATTTATTTATTGTAAAAAAAGTCTGTATTGTAATGGGTGTGGTTTTTTAATGAAATTCCAAGCATTTTGATTTTTTTCGATCTACTTCAATGTGATAATTTTTTTTACATCGAGTAGGAATAATAAGTAGTATTTCAATTAATTATTCTTTTTATGTAAGGTCTTGGTTGAGGTGAAAAAGTTGAAGTCACGAGCGGGATTCGAACCCACGACCTTCGGCTGCAGAAGGCGACAGCCGAAGGTCGCGGGTTCGAATATACCTCTCATAAATATTAATTAATTGAAAAATGTTAATTGGTCAATCGGACCCCGAACTGTAATGGATTTAATAATTAAACTGAAGATATCTTCACGAAAGCTCTCCGTGGCCATTTCATTTGTCTCCGAGAATCAAATAGATTACACGACATTTGAAAAATGGCAAAAAGGAGAGAAATTCAAAAGGTGGGGTTGAGATGGGAAGTTAGTGTCCCAGTGGATCGAAGTCACGATAGCTCAAGTGGTAGAGCAGCGGCGTATGTAGCCGAAGATCGTGGGTTCGAATCCCGCTCGCGACACTGACTTTTTTATCTCAACCAATACCTTTCATAAATTAACCCTTAAATATTAATTAACTGGTACTAAACTAGCTAGTTGATTCGAACTGCTAGTTCACCGGTGACCATTACTTCTTCATGGACTACTCAGTTCATTCAATTAATTTTTTATAAAGGTATTTATTTAGAAAACGTGAGATGCGGTCTGGTGTGATGTAGGTTTCAGAAAAACATTTTCTTTATCGTGCCGACGTTTCGATCTTTATTGAGATCATCTTCAGGGCCTGGGATTTACNTGACTCTAACTTTTTCATCTCAACAAAGACCTTACCTAAAAAAAAAAAAAAAAAACTAAATTGGTCAATTAGACCACTAAACATAAATGGATTAATCAGTAGTATATTGAGTTTAATGTAAGCAAAATTTTGGTTTCACCGGTCTTTTTAAAGAAGTTATCTACATTAAAAATATTTTGCTAGTTTCTGACTGATAATTTCGTGGATCGTTTGTTATAAATATGGCTTACCGTTAGCAGAGAAGATGGACGTAGAGATAAGAAAGATCTGGAAGATCTGGACCACGGTTGAACCCATTTCTTCTGCTTTTCTAAGATACTCCTCTGGTAATAAAAATAATTCGTTTATTGCATTTATTCACTTAGTATCGATAATATTATAAGACGACAGTTAATAATTATAAATAAAAATGTTTTTTATAATTATAAAAAAATAAGGTGTTTGACTTGATGTGGCTCAAACTTTTGATTGGATTTGCTGTGGTAGCACAAGGACATCTTTCCATTCGCCTACTTCTACATATTACGATCAGACCTGACTAACCGTTTCTTTCAGGTCGGCCAAGGAACGTCTTTTTCTCTACTATCCTGATCAACTGATCAAGCTGGAGTCCTACAGGGCAATATCCTAAGTCCTATCCTTTATTCAACATATACTGCTGACACATCCATTCACACTTTTGCAGATGATGCAAATAAAGATTCGGTCCTCGTATATCGCTTCCTACAGGCTCAACTTACGAACCGAAGAAAAAATAAATGTAGGCAAAAGGCGACACATAACTTTTACCCTATGATGTGGAATAATGCCACTACTGTATCTACATCATATATCTCTTCTTATAGTTAACCTAAAGGTAACCTATATAGTTAATCCGCTACCTCGGGCTGTATATCGACAAGAGATTGATTGGAATCCAATAAAAAATTGAAAAGGAAGGAATTGTCTAGACGGTTCAAAACATTGTCATGACTTTTAGACAAATGATCACGGCGTGGGACTGTGAGGTTCAGCCAAATATTCCAACCATCGTAGCATCCAAATTTTCCAATACAAAATCCTCCGAAAAATAGTAAACGCTTCAACGTATCTAATCACACATTTCAAAATGATCTTAAAAATTGTGAAAGATGTCATAAAATCACGATACATGAAATTCCTCAACTTTCTTTCATTACACTCCAATCCCCTAGTTTTAAACCTATATCCCGAACTAACCCCAAATAATCTCCCAAGAGATTAAAGCGGCAGGGGCCTCACGACCTGCTGGACATCAAGACGAAGCACGTAGACCATACAAGAAGTGTCACGTCTGAGTGATTTGGTTTCGATTTATGGTGCCATATTTTGCTTTATTTTATTTTAAAATTTATACGTAGCAACAATTGTCCTTGTATAAAAAAATACTGTTGCACAAAAGTATATATGTGTAAAAAACATTGTTTTTTAAATTGAAAATACACAAATTTAAACAGAAATTATCTGCAACATTAGTTGTTTAAAGTTAAGCTGTGAAAGACTGAATAACCGCAAGAATTAACACATACAATCTAATATTCTCCCTCCCTCTCACTCTCTACCCCTCTTTCTCGCTCACTCTCCCTTTTTTTCTTTCTCCCTCTTTTCCCCTCTCTCACTCTCTCTCTCGCTCGCCCTCTCTCCCTCTCTCCTTTCTTCTTCTTCTTCTTTAGATCTCTCTTCTTCTTCTCTTTAGATGTAAGAGCGGTCCTCGAGACCAAATCTTGAGAGATTGTGTAAATAAAGCGATATCAATCAATCAATCTCTCTCGTTCTAGTTCTCGCTCTCCCTTGCTCTCGCTCTCTCTCTTCCTCTCTCGCTCTGGCTCTCTCTCTCGCTCCCTCCCTCCCTCTCACTCTCCCTTGCTCTCGCTCTCCCTCTTCCTCTCTTGTTCTCTCTCACTCTCTCGCTCTTCCTCTTCCTCTCTCACTCTCTCTCGCTCTTCCTTTTCCTCTCTCACTCTTTCTCGCTCTCGCTCTCCCTCTTCCTCTCTTGTTCTCTCTCACTCTCTCGCTCTTCCTCTTCCTCTCTCACTCTCTCTTGCTCTTCCTCTTCCTCTCTCACTCTCTCTTGCTCTTCCTCTTCCTCTCTCACTCTCTCTCGCTCTTCCTTTTCCTCTCTCACTCTTTCTCGCTCTCGCTCTCCCTCTTCCTCTCTTGTTCTCGCTCTCTCTCTCGCTCTCCCTCTTCCTCTCTGTTCTCTCTCACTCTCTCTCGCTCTTCCTCTTCTCTCTCTCTCTCTCTCTCTCTCTCTCTCTCTCTCACTCTCTCTCTCTCCTTTCACTCCAGAACTTTTATGTATGTGACACATAATTTATAAACTTACCGGTAGCAGTTACCATTATCTTCAGTATAATAAAATAGTCCATTCAACATAAGAAACAGAAAATCATAACAAAATAATACTATTTTATATATGTATAAAATATTTTTAAAATATTTATTGTTGAAAATTAATTACCTAATATCCAATTTGAATCTTAACCATTTTTCCCATATTTTATAGTTTTAACGATTTAATTGCAGAAGGTATGCAGAGTTGGATGCCCTAGTGGTGCGAGGATGATGTTGCGTGAGAAGATCGAGCCTTATTTGTACTATAAGTGTATGCTTGTTTATAAATCAAGGTGTAATTATATGTTTTCTTGTCATATTTGAACGGGATTATTTGCTTTTCTCCTACTAATCTAAAAGAGAATATTTTTCCTTCCATGCATGCTTCTTTGTAATTGTCAATAATTAAATGCAGGCTACCTAATCAAGTAATATTTCTCTCTAATCCAAATCGTAAATATTAAAAAAAACACATTGTATTTCGAATTTTTTGAACTGTTCCTTTTGACATGAGAAGTTTACCCATGTTCTTGAAAATTTGTTTATAATTACTAATATTTCACACAAGGATGGAATATTTCAAACGTTGTGTTCTAACATTATTTACTTTATCTCGGCACAGTGAATATTGTTTAAAATTAATGGATTTTGACTTGGGTAATGAAAGAATGATTAATAAGCCAAAATCGCGTATCCCGTTAACTCCAGACCCGAAGGATGTTGGAATTTAAAAGAGTGACTTTTCAAAAAATAAATTTTCAACGTTTAATAACACACAATTAATAAGACTGATATGAACAATTTATTAATTGAAAAGTTTTAAGGTCAACGTTCATGGGGCAGTTTAATCTAGGTGATCATTCATAACGTCATTTTTAGAGAATAACCGTTATTTTTTATCTATTTCATTAAATATTAATAATTTTAAATTAATTATTGTTAATATTATGTGTATTTGTAATAACAGGTTTACATGCTATATCTAACGAGCTAAGAACAAGTCTCTTTAAAAAACTAATATTTAATCAGTTTAATTTACTGATTACATCAAGAGAAAATTTATAATATTTATGTATAGAAAGAGTAATTACGTAGAAAATAGTTTTTTTGTATACCTTCATCTGATGAAATTATTGCCATGGAAAATGTGCCTAACTTGCTAAAAGACTATTATTATTATTTTAAGATGTACTTTTTTTTAAATTGTTTTCGGTCATACTGGAATTAGGACGTATAAATGCTAAATCCTGATCGAATTCGCTTGCGATGTTCTCGATGACGTAGAAAGTGTTGTAAAAAATACCTTCTGAGATCAAATGGTGAACGGCTTTTGGACTGGAATAAAAACGGAAGATGCCGAGTAACCGGTTTACAAAAATGCATCCGTCCCTCCGAGCTAGGTTCTCAATACGATTTTTGTTTTGTGTACCGTTTATTTCACCATTAATTAAATTGGTGAGAAAATATGTCAAGCAACACAATATTCGTCGAACTGTTATTTTTGTTTTGTTTTTAAATTTTATTTTCTTACATTTAGGAAAATGGAAGACATTCAGAAACTACCAGTAATACACTGTTTTTTAAATTATCATATATATTTCTTGAATTTTACTTTTAACCTCTAATCCTCAAAAATGTAAAATTCAAGAAATATATATATGATAAATAAAATAAAAATTTAATTNGTATATGGTAAACATATGATACCCTGAGTAGACTTATGAGGTTTCATTAATGACTATTTAAATATAAAATTAGAGAATATTATCATATAAAGCACAACATATTTTAAATTGAATTAAATATTTTCTCATATTTTTATGAATCATTAATAGAGTTTTCATAAGTAGCTTTTTTACCTTTGCCTTGAATGTTTACACATTGGGAAATTTTTAAAAATTAAGTTTTCGAGGTGATAAGCATTGTCATTTCTAGTCATTTTTGGTCTGCTTATCCAGGCTGTTTTGGTTTTGGTGTTTCCACTTCGAACATGTTCCATCGAAGGGTAGTTTTGTTTTTGTTTATTAATTTACTGGTTGTGCCCTACGTTTTTTATTGTTTGTAGTTCGTGTTTGTATTTTACATCGCTTGGCGATGTGTACGTCTGTTTTTATGATGATGCCTGTTGGTTTTCAGTGGTGCGATGGCGAGTATGTTGTGTAATGTGTTTTGTGATTCTTACGTATAAGAATAATTTTACAAGCAGAAATATAATCTAATAATAATAAATTCACTTATGTAATGCTTTCATTAAGTAACTTGTGCTTGTCAACTGGTAGTTGTTCAGAGCCAAAAAAAATAAATTGTACAAAATATTTTAACAAAAAATCAAACGTTCTAACACAATGCAAATATAAAATAAAAACTAATGTATATTTTTAGATGTAGTTCTAAAATAATAAATTACCAAACAGAGACAATCTTTTAAAAATTAAGTTTTGAAATTACAGAAACTTGGTACAATAGTAATTCTTATTATATGATTATACAAAAATCTAATGGCGACATTTAATGAAAAATGATAGTGAATCGAAGTATTAACTTGAGTTTAAGAAATATTCAAAATATGATTTCTTCTAGCAACATTTGTAGAAGAACATTTAAAACAATATAAACAGGAAAATTTAATAAAAAGCTGATATAAATTTATAACCTTCAATTCTGAGTATAAAATAAAATCTGCGATTTTTCTTTGGATTGATTTTAATAAGTTTTCTGGGTGAGATAAGTGGTTTAAGATAACAGCAATAATTCCATAAAACAAAATAGATTGTGACAGTGCAAAATCAACCGGTTTTAATTGATTTACAGACATTCAATTTCTCAGCATTCGAAATTTATTAAAAATATAATAAAAAACCACGCTCAATTATTTGATGTTATTAATAAATATCAATGGAGTTTGAACAAGTATGGAAAATAATTTTACATTCTTCCAGGTTAAATTTCTTTCTGTCAAAGACAATAATTA